AGGAGAGAGGTGGTGGGTGCTTTGGGAGGAACGGTTGGTGAAAGGGCTGGAGGGAGGCAGCATGTTTGGCCTTGCAGTAATAGGCCTTGGGTTACTGCTGTCTTCCTCTTGTGAGATTAGAGGAGGTCAGAACATGTGGCCTCCTTGCCGTTTTTGCACTCACCAAATGAGAAATTACTAACAAGGAAAGGATGGACAAGCAAATCCTCAAAGAAATTCTACTGGCCAACATCGCAGAACACATTCAACTTCACTGGTAACTGTGGAAATGTCCACAGGAATAGTCGCGGCTGCTTCTTTCCTGTTAGTGCCAGTGCTGAGGGTGGCTGGGGGTTGAGTGCGATTTATTAAGATGCTAAGCGTGCACATCCTTTGACTCGGCAATTCCACTCCCAGAAAATAAAACCTGGATGTAACACAAAAATTCATGCACAGGAATAACCGTCGCAGGGTAGTAAGTGTTAGGCAAGCATCGCAGAGCAGCTCAGACCCTAAAGACGGGGCAGCGGTGGCGTTGGCTGCCATGCGGTCGATTCCGACTCATGGCGACCCCATAGGTACGTAGTGGAACAGGGCTCCATGGGGTTGTCAAAGCTGTGAGCTTTCAGAAGCAGGTCACCAGGCCTGTCTTCCAAGGCACCTCTGGATGAACTCGAACTGACCAATTGTGGTTACCAGTCAAGGACTTAACTTCCAGGGAGTCCTCAGACAATGGTACATTCACACAATCAATCAATATTATGGAATGACTTAAAGCGGTCAAAAATTCTGACAAGAAAAACACTCTTTAAGCATTAAGTAAAAAAACAGATCATACAAACTGGCATTTTAGGATCTTATTTTATTTCTTAAAGCCGTTGGGCATGATAATGTTGGTTAATGCCACTGTTAAGATGCGTGCCCCATTCTTCTTGGTCTTCTGTATATTCTGTTTCCTGACAATAAACATTCATTACTTTTGAAATCAGAAAAATGACTCAGGAGTACAGTTGACAAACTATTAAGTACCGAGTACCTGCAAAGCAGGTCAGTACCTACTGCTCCCAAGTCAAGCCAGCAGAGCTGCGCCGCTGGGGTGTGCGCCCTTGCAGAGGTGGGGGTGGGCCTGTCAGGCTGACGAGCTCAGCCCATTGGACGGCTGTGGCAGCCAATCCAATCAATCCCAACTCTGCAACTTCCTGCCTCTGTGCCCAGTCACCTCATCAAAAATAAAATCAGATAATGGCATCTCCCCACCAGGGCTGTGAGGGGTTAAATAAATTAATGTTTCAAAGATAACCCACGACCTGACAGATCTATAAGGGGCTCAGTTGGTGCAGTGGTTAAAGCATTTGGCTGCTGAATAAAAGGTCAGTGGTTTGAACCCACTAGCCACTGTGCAGAAGAAAAGATGGGGTGGTCTGCTTCCATAAAGACTGACAGCCTTGGAAACCCAATGGGGGTTGCTGTGAGTCAGAATCGACTTGATGGCAGTGAGTCTGGTTTTGGTTGGATCCATACAACGGTGGTTCTTTTTCTCTCCCTAAGAGAGCGTTTGGATGGTGTTCCACTTTGACTACAGAAGTAACTGTCCTGAGAAAAAGAGGACATTGACGACCATATGGAAACTTCTGGCATATCAATGCGAAAACAAAACTTTTTTCCTGCCATGGATCACTTATTGAGCAATGACTAACATGATCTGAATTCTAGCAATAAGGTTTCCTGCCATCTGTGTAAGGAGAGGAAAGCTGCCCAGGGGAAGCTGGTAGCCCAATGCACTGACTCCGTGGATGACAGGCCGAGGCTCTGACCGGAGCCCACGGGACCATCGGCAAAGCAGCAGCACACTCACGGACCACAGACAAAGCCTTCTGTGCGGACAAACCAGCACTCTTCCCAAGCCAGCGTGGCCAAAAAGGAAAATCTAGAAATTTCATGCACCTGATTGTACAAAGTGCCAGGAACAAGGCACCACTTTCCACTCTCTTGTCCCCACACCCTCATTCTTTCATGAAAAGAAGCCAAAAGAGGGGAACACATTCCTGATAACTTTAATTTGTAAAACAGAGTACATGCTTTTTCAGCACAACCAGAGGAGATCCTCCGGCGGCTGACGACGAGTTCATGGTTATTCAGATGAGGCCTATGTGGAAACGCTACCTTAAAAACATAACTTAAGTGCTCCCAGAGCAATAATAAATATTAAACTAATGCGCTGATGGGCATTCAGCAACTCTCAAACAGATACTCATCAAAATGAGGTAAGTCTAATGAATCATTTGTGAAGGAATTCAACGCGGAAGTAGAAAAAAATTCATCGAAAAGATCAGTCTTGATGGAATTCTCCAAGCTCAACGTTCTAAGGCAGGAACTATCTGTGGGTGAGTCGGCCTGAACTTCACCTTGGCTCTTCTTGGTGGGACTGCAATAGTCGTGCTCCCAGCTCGGGTGTGTGTCCTGGGGAACAGAGCTCAACCCGCTGGGGGCAGGGGCTGGACTCGGGGGGGCTCCCGCCTCTAAATCCCGGAAGTCGGCTGCTTCGCCGGGCTCTGAAAGCCCCGGGGGGACCACGGCTGCCGGGGACAGCAGTTCTGCCAGGATGTCTTCCTGAGTCTGGCCGCCGCACGGGGGCGTGCCGGGGACCGCAGCACACCCGCGTCTGGCGTCTGCGATGTCAATCTGGTGCTGCAGCTCCCGTAACAGGTGCTCTATGGACTCACTGTCGCTGGGGGAGCCACAGTGGGAAGCGTCTTCCCCGTTTTCGCTCGGAAGCGTTCCGTGCTGGGGGGAAGCCATGAGAGCGGCTAGCTTCCTCTTTTTTGCTTTGAGTTTTTTAAGGAGTTTCAGTCGGAGCTGATGAACCTGGCCGTCAACTGAGTCCCCGAGGCTCCCTGAGGGGACACCGTTCCAGGCTCCAGGAGAAGCGTCACTGAGGGGAGCTCGGGGAGAGGTGTTCTCACGCGTCTTGAGAACTTGCGAGATGGCGTTGCCGTCAGCCAGCAGACGAGAAGCCGGGCTGTCTGACGACACACGACTTGGTGGGGGATCACGAACCAGCGGCGGCTTACTCGCATTCTTCCGTGATTTCCTGGATGCCCGGTTAGCCCTGTGGTTAGCACCTTTCGTTTTAAAGCCACCAAAATTATTTGCCCCCTTCGCCGAAGGCTGCAAGTCAGCGACGCTGTTTCTCGTGTGAGCGGAGACACAAGGAGGCATAAAAGAAGCCCCCTTGCTGAGCAGGCCTTTCACCCAACTTCCGACAAATGGTTTCTTCTCGTTTGCTGTCAGAGACGGGGCCGGGGCCGGTGCCGACCTAGTGGCTGGGCCTGGCCAACAGGTGGCCGCTTGCTTTTTCTTCGAATCAGGCACCTGCGATTTAGCGTGTTGTTCTGGCTTTAATCTCTCTGTTTTTGGCGACAGAAGTGGTCTTAACTGAGGCGTCGACTCCGTTTTCACAGACTGTGCTCCCTGGGTAAGATCAGCAGCACGACCACTACTCGCAGGTTCAGTGACGAGGGCACCTCCCGTGTTCAGCTGTGCTGCCGGCATGCTTGCTTGGGTGACCTGAGACGCAAACCTGACGTCTGCAACGTGGCCTTGGATGAGCTTCTCAGTTCGTGGAGGGGACATGAGAACATCCGTGAGTGGGTCCTGCGATGGCAAAGCGTCTGTTTCGACACCACCGTTGTTTCCTGTCACAGGCTTTCCTTCCAGTGGGAAACCCCCAGGGTCAACTGGCATTTCTTCAAGCGTCAAAGGCAAAACATTACTGTCACCCAAAGCTTGGGGGTCTGGGAGTACGCAATCCCTGACAGCTGTGGCTTCTTGGGGAAGAGCAGTGGAAAGAGCAGCTGGGTCAGGGGGCCGAGTGACCGGGGGCCCCGCTGCCGAGGGGGTGCTGCCCACAGAGCACGGTGCTGGGAACACTGGCTCCTGACGGCCGGAAGCACACTGATCGTTCGTCTTTCTAAGTGGAAAGCTGGCAGCCGCTTCGTCTATCACGGGAGATGCCTTTCTTTCCCAGATAACAATGTGAATCTCAGAGGCAGGAACCTCCAGTTTCTCGCGGCGTTCAGCACACGGGCCTTTCAAGTCATCGCATTCAAGCCAACTTCCTGGGAAAACAGAAAAACAAGGAAGAGTTAGCCATTCTGAGGCTGCCATCTGGCCTCTGAAGGTGCTCTATCACGAACACACACCACAGGACAAACCCTCTAAGACCTGGCCTTGTTCTCAGGCCACCATTTCTCTCGGACAAATGTTAGGGTCCTTATGGCTAACAAAAGTTATGGACTTAGAGACCCATACATGTGAAAAACTGAGCTAGGTTTTCAGATGGTTCTCACCTTTTCCAAAAATACCTACAAAAATCAAGGCAGAAGTACGATTTTCATGGCTCGGAACGCAGTGTCACCTAATTTATCCGGCAACGTCAGAAAGCAGGTGCCGCTCCAGATGGGAACGTTCAAGCCTAACAGAGCCTCTCTCCTTGGGTCCCAGCATCTGTTTCAGTTCCCACCGTCGTTCTGAGAGTCCATTTGCTCTGTGGTAAAGTGGAAACAACACGGTGGAGGACGGTGGGAACATGTGAGGACGGGGACCAGGCCTCGGCGTGTTGCTAAGTCAACAAGGGGGCGAGCCCACTGTTCATCTACGGCAGACTGGCCAGCGGCCATCCTCTCGCCCAGCATGATCTCAGTGGGGCGGCAGGAATAGGGTCGAGATGCAGTGGACCAACGTGCAGGTGAGGAGAGAGGAAGAGCTTGTTTAAACGATTCCTTTCCCAAAAAATCACAGCTAAGAGGACAAGGAAGATGCCTGGGTGTGGAGGGTGATGCAGGTGAAGGGAAGGTGTGTCTTACCTGGACATTTTATTTACCACCATGTGATAATTTGGGAAGCACTAACTATGGGCCTAGGAAATCTGGTGGCGTAATGCCTAAGGCACTTGACTGCTAACCAGAAGGCTGGCAGTTCAAACCCACCAGCCACTCCTTGGAAGGAAGGGTGGGCAATCTACTTCCGTAGAGATACTGCCTCGGAAACCCAAGGAGGGGTCACTATGGGTTGGATCCGACTCTGTGGCAATGAGTTTGGTTTGGTTTGGTTTGAACTATAGGCCTGGACAGTAACAGCTTTAAATAATTAACTGTTCAGCTCAAGGGGCAGGAATGCACAGGGAAGGACACAGGGAAAGTTATCCACAGGGAGGAAGGGGCAAGAGAGCTGTTGCATTGTGGGGATTGTGGTCAATGTCAGGAAATGGAATGATCAACTGTTACATGGACTCTTGTTGCTGACTTTTCCCAGCAATCCACATACCCACTGTACACATCTACGGACAGGAAGGGAGACGGGGTCACTGCACACTAACTCTGACACGGCAGGGATGACACGGCAGGCACACAGCTCACTCCGGGTCCCCGTCCAATGACACGTGAGGAGCTCATCAGCCGTGACATCAAACACTGTCATCCTCCTTTCCTTTTACACCCCCGGATCACAGCAGGGAGCACCCAAGCCACTCTACGTCCTTCCAAGGGAGCAGCATTTCAGACAACGCCATTTCCACAACAAAGAATTGAGGACCAGGACAGTGTTCTTTAACGTTTCTATGTTATTTTTACCCAAACTCACTGCCGTTGAGTTGACTCTGACCCAGCAGGACCCTAGGGACATGCACATTAAAGTGCACTAAGCGTCCCTTCCCTTTCTTCAACCCCCTGCCCTGCCCACACACACTGATCTGTCTGAAAACAGACTTCTAAGAGCGCATGTAGAGAACTCATGATGGAGATAGATGTGACCTGGCCATCAAACCCCTCTTCTACTGCCGAGAGAGACCATGAGAGTGTTAGGAAAAAGATCCACCACAGGCCTCCAATCACAGGCCTCCAAGGCTTCCCCTAAGGAAGTCATCTTGTGGAAGAAGAAGGCGGGTTGAGAAAGGGAGGGACACGTCTTCATCCGCAGCGTGACCGTCCCATGTCTAAGGAACCAGGAGGGACTGAGAACAGAGGCCCAGGCCTAACACAGACTGAGAACATTCCTACACTGGAAACATTACAAATAAGATTAAAATAAGAACATGACTAAGTCGCGTAACAGAAACATGAAGTCTCTGATGGTGTGTCACAAGGAGGAAAATGGTAAGATACATTCAGATCTGCCAGGGTGGCCCACGGCTCCCCAACACACACAGGTATGTCACAAGGAGGAAAATGGTAAGATACATTCAGATCTGCCAGGGTGGCCCATGGCTCCCCAACACACACACACACACACACACGTCACTAAGTGTGTGACTTACCTGCATACGTCCTCCTAAAACTATCTGAACCTCCATGAGACAACGGCTGCCCTTCGACACCGTTCAGGCCTGCAAATGAACTCACCCCACTGTCCGAGCTTTCAGTCTAATGGTAGACACGTCTGTAAGGTGAACTATGACACCAGGGAGGTACGTAGTCCTCCGTATAACCAACCTTATGAGATGCAAAGGCCAGCACCTGCCAAGGAAGAGAGCTCAGAGGCAGGAAGGGCTCCGAAAGGAGAATGGAAGTGGAAACCACAGGAGGGGGTGGGAAGACGCTGTTACATGGTGGGGGCTGCAGCAGATCTTACCAAACAAAACAGGCTCGGATCGCTGAGCGGGCACCCAGTTACTCTGTGAACTTTCACCCAAATTACAATAAAAAGTTATAAATAAAGCTACCTGTCCCCACTGCTTCTTATTCCCACTGAGACACCGAGTGTCTTATGCTTGCCTCGGTCAGTGGTCCCTACGTGTCTGCCCTGAAGATCACCGGGGAGGTATTTAAGCAGGATTAGTATCTGGGCCCCATCTCCAGACCTCCTGGTTCAGGGAGGCGTCAGGAAATTATGAAGGAGCTGATGCCTCGCACAGGCTGGCAGGGTTTGAAAGCACGCGTCACCTCCCGACGTCCACACTGGAGATGACCTGCTGGGCTCTCTGGAATGCCACGAGGAGGAGAAAAAGGTGACTTTCTCAGCTTTCATTTCTGTTCCTGAGAATTCCTTCCACCCAAATTCGAAAGCAAGGTTAAACTCAAGGCAGTAACTACAGCTCTGAGATGAGCTTCAATCTGCAAAGTCCTTGCCTAGGACACGGGATTGGGTCACATGACCAAACCGTTCCAGGAGGGGATACTCAGGAGTTTTTCAAATACGAAAACTACCCCAAACAACAGAAAATGTGTGATCGACACGACACCTTACTGAGTGCCCTTGGTACACCCTTCGAAGGGGGGATTAAGTTCTCTTGTCTAAGACAAAGCGAACAACGCAAGTGACACAAAGCCAACGTGAAACCACGTCAGAGAAACAACAGGAAGAAAAATTAGCAACATTCCTGACGTGTATCATTTAGCCTTCCGGTAAGCTTAATCAGACAGAGCAGCGTTGCCCTAGAATGTGGCTGGTGGCTGGTTAACAAACGTGGGAGTTCAGTTGTGTGTCAGCGTGGCCGGGCCTGGCTGAGTGGCTGGGCACCTGGGTGTAGTATTCCCCGTGGTGACATTGGTCACCACCTCCACGGTGGAGTCCACTGAAGCAGCTGAGGAGCTGCCTTAGGGATGAAGTCTGCCTCCAGTAAGAAGACAGCTTTGAGAAAGCTCTCTGAGCTTCTGGCCTGGACCCTGCATGCAGCCAAGTCTTCATTCAGCAGCTTGCCATGTTGTCTGCCGATCTTAGGATTGCACCTAGACTTGAATTAGTGGCCTGCCATGTTGCTTGGAGGAGCTCTGGTAGCATAGGGCCTAAGGTACTTGACTGCTAACCAGAAGGCTGGCGGTTCAAACCCACCAGCCACTCCTCGGAAGGAAGGTTGAGCAATCCTACTTCCGTAGTGATACTGCCTCGGAAACCCAAGGAGGGGTTCGCTATGAGTCGGGGCCGACTCGATGGCAAATAACAACAACAACAACAACAAAGTGCTTGGAGGAGCTCTGGTAGCATAGTGCCTAAGGCACTTGACTGCTAACCAGAAGGCTGGCGGTTCAAACCCACCAGCCATCCCTCGGAAGGAAGGTTGGGCAATCCTACTTCCGTAGTGATACTGCCTCGGAAACCCAAGGGGGGTCACTATGAGTCGGGGCTGACTCGACGGCAAATAACAACAAAACAATAGTTCACAGAGACGGGGGCTACACAGTCTCTAATGCTTCATGTTCTTAGGAACAGATGCTGACGTTTGTGCTTTTGTTTATACTGAGCAACAATCACAAGCTAAGCAAAACTTTTCTTTCTGCTGTCCTTTCTCAATTAAAGGGAGTCCTGGTAAATTTTGGTCAATGACATGAGACAAAGTATATGTGAACTGCTGTATGAAAAGTGAATTTACTCTGTAAATCTTCACCCAAATCCTAATAAAAAAAATAAAAAAATAAAATAAAACGAGGAAGAGGGGAAGGAAAAAAAAAATAAAAAAAATAAAGGGAGTCCTGGTGGCGTAGTGCCCAGGGCATTTGACTGATAACCAGAAGGCTGGTGGTTCAAACCCACCACCCACTCCTCAGAAGGAAGGGTGGGCAATCTACAGCTGTAGAGACACCGCCTCGGAAACCCAAGGAGGGGTTGCTGTGAGTCCAACTATGATCCAACTCCACGGCATTTGCTATGATCCAACTCCACGGCAGTGAGTTTGGTTTGGTTTGGTTCTTGGTTAAAAACTTACAGGGTGATACACTTTCTTTTTAAAAGAAGTAAAAAATTTAAATCCTTGCCATTTGGTTTTTATAATGAACACATATCACTCATGTAATAAAAACAAAAAATTAAAGCAAAGATACTAAGTGGAAAACAGCAAACTGCACACCAACAGTAGTCTATGATGTCACTGTGTCTAAAAGAGAAATGTGCTGGAGTGCCCGTCACAGCATGACGGTGACC